TATCGAAGCATGGAGAGCAATTGATGAGGAAAATCTTCGAAACCTGTTTCTAGTATGCCACGCAGGCTCTTTGATGTTGCTCTTAAACAAGGAGGAGTTATAGATTATTAACTGTTGTACATATGCCAATCTACCAGTGTTTGCCAGAAAATTCCCTTCTGGCTGCTTTCTCCAGAATCGCAAAAATCTGGGGAGACCTTATAATTATGAAACGCACTGTATAACCGTCTCCTGTGCTAATTATATAATAACTCAAAGACGCCCCGGCTACTCATCAACGGCGGCACGCAGAGTTTCTTGAGAAACTTCAGCGCGGCTTTCCTCTCCAGTATAACTAGACCCACGGACACACAGAATTACGGGCCGGAGTACTATATGGTCAATTGGAAGCAGGAATGAGATTGCGTATAGCCACTCAGCGCCAGTCTTGATCTTTTCCAATTCGTGAGCATGTGAGCGAGTGTTTCCAAATTTTATTTTTGAAATGATGTCCGACCCTAAGCAGCACTTTGTCAGAAATGTCCTTCATGAAGATCTAACAATTGACTTCATACTCTTCTGCACAAAAATAAGAGATATCGTGTTGATGTGTCCAGCTCAAACCATCGTAGAAGAGGAAAATGGCTAGTAGAGATGATATGGCTTTTGTCCTCTTTTTCACCACTTGTAGTGGAAAACATACGTGTATATGGGATCTGAACCGTTCTTTGACGGTGAACACTTTTTCTTGAGGAAAGAATGTGTTGAAGCGCGTGCCGCGTGCAGGGAGGACCGGTGTTCTTCTTTCTCTTCTTCAAAAAATCCATGAGACTTCCGAAGCCTATCTGGCTACAATTTTAGTTCCTCGGGAAAGACTGTTTCAATTGAAGTAGAACATGCGTTCAAGTCGGTAGTGGCTTTCCTCGTGTTTCTGCAGGCTTTGTCTTTTCCAAATGACTATATTCGAGAAAGAGGTCGTAAATAAGGCAAGACGACTGTTTTGTGATTTGGCCCTGACCTCTCCCAACGTGATCGACTTGGCGGACAACTACTCATCAGCCATCAAACGATTGTCAAGTCTGTCTACATCGCCAGCTTGGAATAGGCTCGAGCAGAAAAAGTGGTTCAAAATACGCACAAATACCCATGCCGATTCCTTTCTCTCAAAGACCCGAACAAGCCATTATCTAGCAAACATTGAAGAATACCGCTTCAAGAGGGCTCCCTTTGGCGCCAGGCCTTCTCCCAGTATTCTAGATATGGCCTTTCTCACATTCTTGCAATCGCGGAACTCTCCGCTTTCGAAAGAGATCCTCGACAATTTGACGATAACATTCTCCTCGGGGTGCCTCTACACCATCAGGGGCTATCTCCAAGTATAAAGAGAGTAAGGCCCTTCTTTCCGGAATTAGAATGAATCTTAGAGAGTACTCGTCAAACCAAACAGAACTGAATGACGTTATACCGCTATGCGATCGCGCTCGGAGGGGTTTTCCACCATTCTTGGAGTGAAATACTACAAAAGTTCAGACGAGTTCGGAATATGCCTCAAGTTTGTGGAAAAAGAAACCTGACAAAAAGAGACGTAGTCAGTCAATTAAATTGCATCTACGACCCTATTGGCATAGTTGGTCCAATCACAATAAGACTGAAGCAACTCATGAGAGAAATATACGAAAGCGGTCTAGGATGGAAAGAACCAATACCGGAAAAGCTCGCGGCCAGGTGAAATGCAACGCCAAGAGTATCAAAAGGTCTCAGTGTCTCTTCTACGTTACATAGGTGTGCCGAGCAACCCTTTAACCAATATGCTATCCCTCTGGGTCTTTGCTGACGCAGCGCGAAGGCTTCAGCAACTTGTGCCTACTTACGTCACGGAGAAACAAAGACTGTGTCAACGTAATAAGCGGAAAAAACACGGCTTACTCCAAAAAAGACAAAGCAAACCATACCAAAGATGGAAGTCGTAGCGATCCTGATGGCCACTCGGCTTGCTAAAAACATCGTCTCCGCTATCAGAGTCAAGCTCAATGAAATCAACTTGCTCAGTGATATCGAAATTGCGTTGTCTTGGATTAAATCAAACAAAAAATTGCCATTGTTCGTTGAGAATCGAAAGCAATACATTCTCAAAATAAAAGATGGTCTCGAGTTTGTGGGAACAATAGTGAATTTCTTTCACACAGCAGACAATTCCGCTGATGCCGGGACAAGAGGAGCAGACGTTTTCCTGATAGATGGTCTACCGTGGGTGCGCGGTCCACAATGGCTCAATAACGAAAAAATACCTACAAGGCTGAGAAAGCTAGCTGATATCCATAAACAAAAAGAAGTGGAAGAAGACACGGAAACACTAGGAGATTACACAACAACTGTACAACGAGCAGGTGTCAGTATTAGCAATAATCCCGGTCTAGTCTCACTTACACGATTCTCACGTTTAGATAAGGCATTGCGGATGTTGCGCGTGTAGGAGAAGTACTTCATGCATGGGTAGTTAAAGTAAATAGAGGAAAGGAGAGACAGAGCAAATTATGCTTACAAAAGCTGCACCTGTACCACATCGGCTATGAGATCACCGCAGAAGATGTGAAACTAAGTGAAACTCTTCTATTCGTGAAGCACATGCTTCAGTTTCCCTGAACACGCTTAAAATGAGGTTTCCACAGAAGAAAATATTTTGCGACGAAAACGAAATCATTCGAAACGCATCTCGCATTCAGAATGCACTCGTCTCTTACGGAAGAGCCCCATTTATTTGGAGAAGAACTCTGATATCACACGACTGGTCTTAACCGACATTCATATCAAAAATGGCTATTCCGGAAAGGACCACACACTGTGTCCCGCGAGGCAACGCTTTTGGATACCACGACCATGTAGGGTATTCAAGAAGTACTTGAAAAACTGTGTCGTATGCAGAAAAGCTCAGAGACTCCCGTTCGGGGCACCAGAAATGCCTCCTTCACCCAAAGACAGGACTGTGCTAACGAGACCCTTCCATTCAGTCGATTGCGACTTCATGGGGCCTTTCCACTCCAAAAACATTGAAAATTACTACGTTTCCTTATACACGTGTCTCACGACTAGAGCAGTGCATCTTGAAGTGGTGGAAGATATGTCCACAGGAGCGCTCTCGAACTCCTTTATAAAGTTCATTTGTCGGAGAGGGGTTCTCACTCTGTCGGAGATTCGAACAGACTGTGGCACGAATTTTAAACTTGGCCAACAAATCATTGAAACAATGTCTTCTCTGAACGACAGTACGGAGTATTTTATAATGTCCTGTAGCTCTAACCATAGAATACAATGGGTCTTCAACCCACCAGGGGCATCCTGGATGGGTAAAGCGTGGAAAAAACTAGTAGGGTCAGTCAAACGTGCCTTCACTAGGGCGGAAAAGACTGTCACACGCAAAGTTGTATACCATCATGACGCAAATTGAGGCCATAATCAACACTGGATCCCTCACAGCTATAAGCCATGCAAATGCGGATGACATCCCTTTGCAGCCAATCGATTCCTTGCAGAACAACCTGAAACACAGTCTAGTTGAGACGGACAGTGAGGAGGGCACAGATCCAACGTTCGAACCCTAAGTCATTCAAACAGCTGACCAAGCTAAGCAGGCCATACAACATGCGGAGCAAGTCAGTTCGAAATTGGGATCGATGGTACACAGAATATTTGACAACTCTTCGCGAAATGCAGGCTATAAATAGAAAACAACCACGACATGTGAAACAGAGAGGGCCACAAATTGAAGAGATTGTCTTAGTCGTACAAGAAAATCTACCAAGAGGCTCTTGGTGTTATGACAAAATTGTTGTTGAAATTGTTGAGGTTGTGATGATTTCGTGAGGTCTGTTCAACTGTTGATGCCCAACAAACATGTATGGCTACGACCTGTAAACAAAGTCTATCCACTGGAAATTCCAGCAAGAAACGATAAGGTTCCGCCCATTAGTTCACAACCTGATCATAATGTTCGAGAACTTCAGATGAACGAATACAGCAAACCCCGTTTGGCAAAGATCAAAGCGAAGAAAGCGATCCAGAAAATATCAAGGGTCACCGACGACTCTGGTGGATTTCTACTTTCCACGTTATGTCCGCACATCAACGTGATAATGATTATCATGATTACTGCTCTGTTTCTGGGACCACCAGCAAACGCCTTGTCAAGCATCTCATGCGAAGGTAGCGCTCTTCACGTTTTACCCCCAAATGTCACCTTCCAGCTCTGCATACAGTCTACATGTAAATATTTCGCTAATAACTTGACAAATTTCACATTCCTGCTGCCCGCAACGGCAACCAACGGAGTAGTAGCAGTATCAATGAGCTATTTTTCTGGCAACAAATACACTAAGCTGCAAAAGAACTGCAGTCTCCCTCATGTATGTGATATATCACGAATCTTCATGTCCAAACATCTGTTGGGCAATCCTCATTGTTGGCCAACAGAGGCAATTGCATCCATAGGATTGCTTCTTTACCTGATGATTGCTGCAATAACTTTGTCCGTAAAATTTATGCTGGCGCTCAACAGTTCTCACTCTGGCGCAACGGTTACATCATCGGAGTTAGACAAAGTCAACAAAAGCTCGCATTCCACAGTTGCCACTCGTAAGAACGATGAAATGGTAAACATCCAGCTTCAGTCGTTCCGACCACTCCCACATTCTCGCCCTAGCGTCATCACTGCGATCGCGGTGATTGTTTGCGCCTGCATGAACAAGTAACAGCATGTCAACTGGGATTCACTAGACACAATGCAGAGGTCACGTGTACATCTCAAAACACCTGCGCAATCAAATTCCGTTGGGAGATTCTATTTGATGAGATCCACAAAATGGCTTGCGTCGATATCCTTCAGGCCAATAAATCAGTAGGCACTCTTTGCATAGAAAAACTACAACCTCTAGGACTGGAGTGTGGAAAACGTACTCTTTTTCATACACGTGACACAGAGCGCGAAAAGTACAGCGACCCTCGATGTGCACAAATGGGTTCTTGTTTACAAGACGCATGCTCTATGGTTAAGCCAGATAGCATGATCGAAGAATTTGCAAACGCCTCTCTCTACTTGGGATACACGGGTTGTGAACCCTTATGTGGAGAGCTTATGTGTGCCTTTTACCACTTCCATCGTTTTCATTCTATCGTATTGTCCACGTACCCAGAAACAGCTTTTGTGAGAAAACGCTGAAAGCTTGGAATGGAAGCCCTTGGATAAGAGTCCAACTAAACCTGCATGGCATGGCTATGAAGAAACGGGTAACCCTCCGACCTTACGTTACTAAGAAAATAGGTGGCACTTTATCCACAGTGATATTCATGTCCACGCCGTCAAGTCCGCTGTTGCAAAGCAGATTCGCAATATCTAAACATGAAGGCCTAATTATCCCATGGACCGTACCAGTCGAATGCAGAATACTCAAGAAAGCCAATGACAATTGCAAAGTAATTTGCCAATGTGACGAAGAACCTGCTACTGCACGGTGTTGTTGTCCACCCAGTACTATTTGCCACCATTAAGAGCGTTATTTCAAATGTCCTTCCCGTCTCAAGCCCATTCCTAAACGTAGTCATTCGAAGGGACTAAGTAATCGCTTACTCTCGAAGAGAAGAAATGACTCTGATGGTAGAATCGAAATATATGCAAGAAAACGCAGAGTATATCCCAAACAGGATTGCAACACCTTGACAAAGCTGGAGGAATGTTATGCCTGCCAAGAAGGCGCCAACCTAATCGCAACCTGCACAACTGCAACACATACATGGAATATCATCCAATGCGAGCCTCATGTTTTTTCCATCGAATGTGACCCATCTGAGAAGCCAAACACGCATATCCTGGACTTTCAGCAAGGTATGATAAAGGTTGCTTCGCAGAATGCAATAATCGCATTGTCCCTATGCTCTCAAAGGTTCTCTTGCTTACTTTCCACACATAAGTGATGAAGAAATTTTCGTTTTTCATGTAACAACATGGAATTCAACCAAGTGGTTCCGGGAATGGAAAATGTTGGACCTTAGTCCCACACTCAAAGTAATAAAAGACCACTGGAAAGCATCTCTCGTCACCATTGGAGCAGTAGCTACGTTATGTGCGGTGACCTACCTCTTTGGGCCCACAGCTCTACTACTCGTTCTCCAGGCATTAGCAAAGGGTCTGAAGAGCTTTCTAAAGCTTTGCCTCAAAATTTCCTTACGGTCAATTTGCATGCGATCCACCATTGATATCTCATCAACACGAGCATAACGCTTTCTTAGAAAATTCTCCTAGTTGTAGTTCTTCGTAGAAAATACAGTAGGTGCATTTCTTGAAGGCTCACTAACATTACAGCACAATACGTCAACATATCCATCAGCTATTCTTGAGCAGGAGAAACTCGCCGATTCGTTTTCCTAGCTACACAAACAAACGGACGCAGCAAACATGGACGAAGTCGATGCTGCCATACACATCGAGCCGCTATCTGACGCTATCAAAGAACTGAAGGAGCAACTCAATATGTTCGTGATGTCATTCGATGCTAAGATGGAAGCTCTGGTGGACCTCGTTAGCCGTCAGAATAATACCATCGACCAAAAATTGGATCTGATCATGGAAAAAGCCGCACTCAAGTTGCGTTTTCTGTTCTGTTGACGGAAACCGCAACAACCACTTAACTGGACGCTATTGCCGTATACCAGACGCAGTTTTTCGTGCAATACAAGTCACCAATTTACGACTGAGTAATCGATGCTTACAGCCAAAACACAACGAAGATTGCGGCACCCTCTGTAGCTTCTGAGAAAAAGAGGACAATGTGCTCACCTGTCCAGGTAAAGCTTCCCTTGGAACGAAGAAAATTTTGAACGTTTGTTGCGGCACCCCATATTGTCTGTCTGTTCGTCGCGCCGTCGGCTTCCTACTTCTCACGCTGCCGATGAGCCGCCAGCTTGGCTTCGTCCCATATTTTATCGAAGATTCGGCGCTATTTGCCCCTATCCTCTATCAACCTATTCAATTCGTCAGGGCAGCTCCCCTAATCCGTCTCGTATTCCTTGCTATGGTTCCGGTCAACTACATTTCGAAGACCGACTTCACTGCGAATGGAAGGAACTGGTCGACGGTCGACAACATCGCCAATGCCTACGTTCAACGCCAAAGTATAGTAGTAGATTTATTTCATTTGTTGGTTCTTGTAATTCACTTCAATTCATTGGATACCTTAAGTTCGCCCCTCAAGTAACATGTTAGTCTCATAGTCCAACTAATGTGTAGGTAGAATGAATGATTGTTGACTGTCAGTATGCAAATGATGTTGTCTCTGAGTTGTCGCCCTTCCGGGGACAGTGTCGCGATCAGTCGCGACCAATCGCGATTCTGTATGTTATGTTATTCATTCTTGTCATGTCAAGTTGGAGATTCTCTTGCTGTAATGTTTTCGGTGTTTTCAAACGCCCTGAGATCATTGCAGCGCGCCTTTCTGCTCTGTCGTCAGGATAAAGCGGTGAGCCAGGAAAAGTGTTGCTGGACCGTCGAGAACAGTTTGTGGTGCATCGGCCGGACTTGTCAATCGCTATGGCTGATGAGTAGTTGCCCGCCGTGTCGATCACGTTGTCCCTTAGGGGGGAGGAAGCCGTAACGGAACTCCCATCAAAGGACCTTGGCTTTGAGTATTTGCTGAAGTTAGTGAATCTTTGCTTTCCTCATCATTTACGGTGCAACTCCAAGCCCTTCCAATTCCAATTTGGTTAGCATTTCGTTTTCCGGCTCAGCAGAGGTCACTGCTGTGGTGCAGTGGGCGATCAGCGGCGCGGTTATATCCGAGTCTTGAGCATCCATAATGTTGATATTACTAATATACCAGTCATTCTTTATAGACTTTTTGCTTATTCTCGTTATACTTGTATAAAATGAGTTTTGATAAATGTAAAAATATTGTGCATTCCTTTGGCTAATGATTTCGTACTACTTTCTCTAGCACCAGTAATATATCTGGACTTTATAGGATTTTATGTAACTTTGTTAAGGCGTAAATGATCGGTATTGAAGCTCTATCTGTTATTTTGAGTTTGTTGCATATACAAAGCATTTTGTGTTTCAATATTCAGTTGTATTCATTATTACATTCTATTTTTTATAGGTGGTACTAGTAACGCTGTGTAGAAATTTTTCTTCATCTTCATCGTATTTTATGCCTATTTCTTGCATAATAGTCATTATATAATATTTCATGCAAATCATCCCATGATTATTACTAGCTTTATCAACTGTACAGAGAACAAAGTCTTCTTGATATTTTTTATTAGCTCATAGGGGATTGTTTCCTTAATAGGTTCCAACTTGTGATAAGCTAGTAGTGGCTTTACTTTATTATGGAATTCTGCAGGGAAGTACTTTGTCATTTGCCTGACTTATTCTGTAATCATGTCATATTTATTTTTATAATTTTTGAGGATATCGTGTACTATATTCAAATATGTAATTTTAACCTCTAATCTACTTATTCCGCGGTCAATTCTATATTTTGTTTCATTTTCCAAATTTTTGAGTACTTCTTCCTTTATAATACAAAGATTTCCAGTAGTAATATGTCCTGAGCTTTTATCCACAGACTCTCTGAAGAAGGTTTTTTGGCATATACAATCATTGATATGTTTATATTTTAGTACTTAATCATTCAATGTCTCAAGTACTTTATTATAATTGCTCATCTTACTGGATACTGGACAACCATACCTACATACTATTCTGATAGGAACGATTTCTTTAAATCTGAAATCATTATAATTAATTATCTTTGAAATAATTCTATGGTTTAATATTGTATTAAAAGGAATTTAACTATAAATTCTACTTTTGTATTCTGTTATCACATTATGATATTCTCTTTTAATTTTTCTATTGGGAGGATCAATATATTGAAAGTGGGCTAATATACATAATACTAGAAATTTAGTTTTACTATTGATACAATCTTACTGATTGTAAGAATTCTTCTGAAACTGACACTTGAATCATTGTGTCGATTTCTTTTTTACTCATTCTATTAATCATCCTGTAGCACTGTATGGGTTTAAGGTCTTCATCTTCATCGATTATTACTGATATTACATCTTGACACGTAGTTTTATCTTTCTAAGTTCTATTTTTAGTTTTTTACCTCTGTTATGTCTTTTGTCCTGAGCTTAATTGCAAAGAAAGGAGGAGCTTTGTTATATTTATTGTATTGCTAATGTGAGTTTTGTTGCCGTATCCCTTAATGTTATCATTGAGACCAAAGGGAAGTGCTGTCATAAGAAGTTTAATTCAGAATAATTCCTTCTCTAGCAAAATATTTTTATCATTCATTTTCACTACTGTGATATAATATCTAACACTGTGACTTTTATTTCTTTTCCGCATTTTTGCATATGACTATATAAAGGTGTATTAATCTTATTGGTGGATATATTCAAAAGATGCTCTCTTATTCTATCCTTCACTTTTCTAGTAGTCATTCCATATTGTATTCCACAACGTTTACAAGTATACAATAAATAACATTTTTATTATTACAACTAGTATTATTATCTTTATAAGTGTTGATTTTTAAACATGATGTATTTGTAAAAATGTAATTGTTGGTATCTGTTATACTACAAACTTTACATATTTCACATTTGCAACCCTTATTACGATTGCTAAAATCTTTTATAATGCAATGGTTTTCAACATACCTTACCTTCCCAAATTTATTCTCTTTATAACAATTGGAATCTTCATTTTTTGACCTTTAATCTATGCATATGGGAGGTCAAGCCCATATGCAGAGAGGAGTCTTCCGAAATGGGTACAACAGGATTGCTGTCAGGGGTGGGCAACCTCTATGTGTTACTTCGGGAACGATTGGTACTGGAGGCGTTAAAAATTGACCCCCCATGCCACCTTTGACTTTTATAACCCCTTCAGTACCAATCCCTATTTTTAGCAAGAGTATGGCTCTCTTTTGTAATGGGCGAAGGAGTGAACGGGATTGTGTCATAATCCTACAATGAAGCATTTAAAATAACAAATGAACAAATAAATAAATAAATAGATAGATAGTAAATAATGGGGAATGTTGAATGGTATAACGGTTGCAGATGTTTGGTACGTTAATAAGTTCAAAAATTATTCAGTAGTGTTCGATACTGATTGGAGGTCTAAATGGACGGAGTAAATGAAAAGCTGTTGTAAATTATGAACATAAGAACTTAAAAGTATCATGAATTATTAGTCTAAGAGTCATTTTTAATCTAGCATCATTTTACTTCCCTTATTATTTATTGTGTTGTATAACATATAGTAAGTAAGTAATCTAAATGATTTTTAAATCTTCACCAATGCTGTAGATGTTCATAATAGCGGTAAGTTCATAGGACCGTACTCTCTTCATTATCCGAAGTGGCCTATATTCTCCCTTTAGTACGTACAGTCAGCTATGTTATTGATTTATATATCCTGTCTATATCATAAACGCATGCGAACGGAAAAGTATGGATCTATCCTCAGAGGGAGCGCGCACATGCATTATTAGCGCATATCCCAGCTCTCTCCATCTCCAAACCCAAATGGATAACCAGGCTTATGTTTGAGTTGACGCTCAATCCCCCTTGACATCAGTTTCTCATGAAGGTTTCACTTGTTTTGATATTAGTCCAAATTTCGGTGTTAAGTGGGCTGGGGGGCACGCGGCGCCGCACCCTGCGCTCTTCCCAGCGAAATTGTAAAGAAGGAAGATTAGTCGAGCCCGTAACGGTGTTTAAGGGCGTTTCATAGCTTCTTTATAATATACTATGTACTTTTCACCTGATTTTAGGGGGCGGGGAGGGCTCCGGGGTCGGTAAGCCAATTGGACGTTCAACTTTTATCTCATCTCAGCTTTTGCACAAGATAACCATCTCACCCACCCCTCCCCTTCTTAAAAGAGTAGGTTTTATCGGCTCAGAAGAAGAGTATCCATAATATGCAAGCATATCAACATGTACCAAGGGTCAGTCTGTTCTAAATCACGAAACACATCAGTAAAACCTGTTAATTAATGTTTATGTATATAAACGGTGCTGTAGGACTAATACCTGTAATACTACATTACTTGATTCTTAATTACTTAATCTTTTAATGGTATATCAGAAATCAGAATAATTATGGATGTATGGAAATTTTAGGTGACGTATTCCAATTCTGGGACTGTAAAACTCTTCTTCAGGATCTTTTGGGATGAGTTTTTATTTTACCTGTCCAACTCGATTTCTTATATCCACGTACCTTATGTATATCCGATCTTTGAAAGATCACAGTCGTATTTTATTGTTATGAGTTTACCACACGAATAGATAGAGTATAGTGATAGTTTTTACTGTTTGACGTTATTGCTGGCATACTTAGCCTATTTATATGTTTATAAGCTCTACTACCAATCGGAGTGTAAGTAGTTTTGTAAAATGTAAGTGAATACCTTTTACAAAAGGACACAATTTTGTAGAATTAAAAATTTTAAGGTTCATAGTTGAGCAGAATGACATTGTGTTATTGAAATGGTTTAGTAGCATTTAGGTTTCGAATAGTTATATCTTCATGAAGTAATGCTTTTATAGCATGCTGGTTTTGACTATTCCTGTTCCGATCAGGACAAA